CCCCAAAACCCCAAAACCCCAAAACCCCAAAACCCCAAAATATTAGCCAAATTGAATATTTTTAAACCTTAAAAAATAAGCTTCTAAAACATGGCAGGAAAGTTAACAGATGACTTCTTAAAAGACCTCGAAGACCTTTCAGATGAAGAACAGGTCCAAGGAGATATTGTACAGCAGGAGGTGGGAGCAGGCCAAGAGGAGGATAAGATACCAGAGATTTCCAAGCTTAAAAATGATAAAGAGTACTCGGCATTTTTAGAAGCTATTGAAGAGGATCTGAATACTATACAACCGGCTGATAAGTTCATCAATTTGGAGAAAGCAGATCCTATATATGCGCTGATAAAGAAAGCAAATCATTATTTAATGGAGATCGAGAATGAAATCAATATCTGTTTTAAAGAGATTCGAGATATTTATCTGAACAGGTTCAGCGAGCTTGAAAGTATCGTTTATGACCCTATACAGTATACTAAGTGCGTCAAGGCTATTGGTAATGAGAATGACTTCACTAAGGTCGATTTTAAGGACATTCTTCCAAACCAGACTATTATGAATATTACTGTAGCAGCCTCAGTGAATCAAAGTACAGATTTGCCAGAGAAAGTCCATGAGAAATTGATGTATTATTGTGATGATATTTTAACATTAGACGAGCAGAAGAAAAGAATTCTGCATTACCTTGAGAATAGAATGCACTATATTGCTCCAAATGTACTTGAAATCCTAGGGTGCTCAGTTACAGCCAAGATAATCTCTGCTGCAGGAGGTATTAAAGAGTTATCAGAGATTCCTGCAGGAAATATCCAAGTCCTTGGAGCACAAAAGAAGGTGACTCAAGGTTTCTCCACCCAAAATCTTGGCTTGCACGTTGGTCATATTGGAGAAGTTCCAATGGTCAAGAAAGCTCCAGCTAACTGGAGGAAGCAAATTATTAGAATGTTTTCCACCAAGACTGTACTTGCAGCTAGAGTTGATGCTGCTAAGAAACATCTTTCTGGTCAGAAGGGAAAGGAGCTACTCCAACAGATCATACAAAGATTCGGAAAGGTAACTGAGGCACAGAAAATTTCCATGAAAAAGCCTCTTCCTAAGCCAGTTGAGAAAAAGTCTAGAAAAAGAGGAGGAAGGAAATTTGCAAACATGAGAAAGAGACTTGAAATGAGTGAATACGCTAAAATGATTAACACAGTCAAGTTTGGAGAGGAAGCACAAGAAGAAATCGGTCTTACTGGAATAGGAATGGGAATGCTTGGTGTCTCGGGAACTGGAAAGTTAAGAGCAACAGCAAGTAAGAATAATAAAGTTAAATTAATGAAGAAGAAAACTGAGTTGAATAAACCTGCTCTACCTTCTGGATCTACTCATGATGGACTTCAATCTTCATTAGTCTTAGCTAGTAATGCTGGAATCGAGCTTATTAATCCTGAGCTTCTCAAAGAACAAGTGAAAGAGCAGCAAACTTACTTCAATACCAAGGCAGGGTTCAGTACAGTTATCCAATCAAGAATGAATAAGAATCAGTAGTGAACATTATCAATATCTATTTTGAATTAAGGGGTTTTGGGGTTTTGGGGTTTTGGGGTTTTGGGGTTTTGGGG